CCATGAATTTATCTAAATATCAATTTAATGAACTTTAACTGTATAAAGCTTTTTTTAGTATAGTATCGCGTGAATTACTAAGCTCCCCAATTCAAAATCTCAAGCGAATGATGTCAAGTTATCCGAACCAATTATAGAAGTTATCATTGTCGTCGATATTGTAAACATTTATGCGATTTATCAATCGGTGATCTATAATCAATGATTCAAGTTTTTTCGACTTCAATAGTATGTGTCACACAATCACATCATATAACCGCTAATCGAGAATCGCATTTTCCCTTCCAACTCGTAAAAAAAAATTTTTTTTAAAAAATAGAAATATGTCTTCTGTTCAATTGACTACAATTGATAATTTTAAAGAATTTGTTATTGAATCAATATCACAAAACTTTAAAGAACAATTGTCGTTTTTGGATAAAATTCCAGAAAAAGGTTTGTTAAGAGTTATATATTTTATTAGTGAAATAAGGACATTGTTATTTTATCAATTAGTTGAGTGAAAACTTTTTTTTTTTAGAATTCGAAAAAAATTACTTTGAAGAAAATATAAAAGGACAATCGAGAAATTTAAAACGAAAAAAATTAGGTATTATTAATATAATTAATTATTTCCAAGTGCATTTTATATATTTTATATGCATAAATTGAATTAATTGAAATTTCTAAATTAAAAGATGAAAATGAAAGTAAAGTAGAAATTGTTAGTGATTATGAAGAGTCAACGCCAATTAGTCAAGAACCAATTACTTCGTCAACGAGTCCTTTACCATCGTCATCTACTCTTTCTCTACCTCCTATCTCACATTCTTCATCATCGCCATCATCATCATCATCACCATCATCACCATCATCATCATCGCTGGCTACGAGCGCAACCACCATCATTTTGACAACAGCAACTGCTACAACAATTACAACGACTACTACACTGAAGCCACAATTGCAACTACCACAAAAAAAGATTAGATTTACAACATCACAATTTTCTCCCTATTATGAAACGACTAATAATAACGGCAACGACAGCAACGATAATAGCGACAATAATAAAAGCACGTACTCAATTGAAGCCATATCACGTGCTAAAAACACTATAGCATTTTTTAGAGCTTTAAATTCAGGATGTTTTCGTAATTTGGATCCAAATAGTTTTGTGGTTATATCAGACGGAAAATTACTAGGAATATATCCTA